TTTTAGAACATCTTAAAGAATTTAATCATACATGTAAGGTATATTGCCAATGGTAAGTGAAAACTATTGAAGAGAACAAAAAACTCTTCTACTTTTTCAACCCAAAGAAAATTAGTCATTATTCTTTAAGCCAGTTTTGTGCATTTCACTATGATATGTATGTATTGACTAATTTATAAGCTTCTTGTGTTAATAATATGGAGAAGACAGGACAGGATAGGACAGTGAGAAACTTGGTCAGTTAAAGAATAAACCCAGCAGCTCAGCGCAGAAGAAAGTTAATTTAACAATTTAAAAAATGTATAGTTAGATTGACAGGTCTGAGGTGAATTCACAGGAAAAAGTTCAATGGCCAATAGAGAAAAGAGGGGAACTTGGATCTAGTATAGTGAGCAGTTTAGAAGCTGTCAGTCAGGCTGTCTCCCTAGAATCCCAGTTCAATTTCCCACAGCTGTGTAGGTTGGTACTATGCCTTTAGCTTTTTCATGTAAAATAAGAACAATAATAATAACAACTTTGTAGAGATTAAATCAGTTAAATTGTGTAAGACACTCAGCAAAGTGAGCTGGTCATGCTAAGCTCTCAATAAATTTTAGCTATGTTACTGTTATTGTTATTATTATCCCTAGTTTATAATGTACTTCTTTTTATGTTATTGCTGTCAACAATAGCTAAGGTAGGAAACATCTCAGTTTTTCCAGGACTGTCCCGGTTATGCCTAGTTATTTATTAATAACACTCCTTGCCTTCTCAAAAGTGTCCCAGTTTGGGAAATGAATTATATGGTCACCTTAGCAGTGGATCCCAGAATAGAGTTAGAGAATACCACTCAGAAATACATAGATTGACAGAGCTGAGGAACAAGTAGCTGTGGGATATAACCCAGGAGTGTCCAGGTTGGGTGGGGTACCATCAATCACAACTCAGTTCCCTAGAGGTAGAGCAGCCCTCATGCTATTCTAGACAGATTTTTACATCCAAAGTAGGAATTGGGAGTCGGGGGCACGGGGGGCGGGGCGGATCTCTTCTGAAGAAAAATCTTTCACTATGACAATCAAAGAATGGCAAGAATCCCAAGTGTGTATTGGCGATAGGGAGGGAAAAGTTGATGTTGATGAATCAGCACAGGTTGGACTTCGCGATTCACTGGTGAGAGAGGGATGAATCCAGTTTTCTGGGTTGATTGGCTCAAAACATGGTGTCATAACTAAAAAAAATACTATTAAAAGATAAAATACGGGGAGGAAATAAAGAGCTCAGTTTTAGACACATTAAGTTAAAAATGCCCAAGACAGACATCCGAGTGGAAATTTCCAGAAGGCAGTTGTGTATGACTAGTTCTGTGCTCAGAGGGCTCCAGATTTGGTAGTCATTTGCCTGGAGGCAATAGGTTAAGCCTTGTGAGTGACTGAGATCACTTAGTATGAAGAAGCCATAGGCAGGGGAAAAAATATGCCAGGGATAGACTTCAGGAAACACCAACCTTTCTCATATGTTGGACAGAAGAAAAAGAGAAAGCAAAGATGATAGGTGGTGAAGACCTGTAAAGAACAACATTATAAGGAAAGAGTTTCTGAAAGAAACTTTCCACAGGGCTACATGCCACCAGGAGGTCAAGATGAAGAATCTCTTGGCTTTGGCAGTTAGGATCGCCTGATTAACTCGTGCAGAAGTGATAGAACGGTGAAGTAGGAAGGGGAAACACATGCCTTCAGTTTAAAGAGGGAAGATGGATGTGAGGAAGGGTGAGTCAGCAAGTAGCCCTGCACCATCCACTGTGGTAGACACTAGCCACATGTGGCTATTTAAATTTGAATATACGTTATATTCAATTACTTATAAAAGTAAGCAAAATTAAAAATTAATTTCCTTAGGTGCACTAGCCACATTACAAGTACTCAATAGCCCCATGTGTCTAGTGGCTATAATGCTGGATACCGCAGATGTAGATTGCTTCCATTATTACAGAAAGGTCTTTTGGACAGTGTTGGAATCGTAAAGGCAGAGGAAGGACGGAAAAGCTAGAAAAACATGTTGTGTCAGAGGAGAGTCTCTCCCCGTCCGTGAGCACTCAACATAAGCCCTAAGTGAGTGTGTGTGTAGCCTGTGGGTCAAGTGTGAGGCAAAGAAGTTGTATTAGAAAGAAAAGAGAGCAAACAGGGAAGGCTCTAGGGGTGCTGGAGGCCTGGCATCCAGACTCTGAGTAGGGAGAGTTCTTTCTCCAAAAATACACTTTAAAAAGACGGAGAAAGTACAGATGCAGCCTCCTCTGGCAAAGCCAGGAACCAATTAACTGTAGTAGCCACAGTGACTTGTTGAGAAAGTGGAGGACTATAAACCTAAAGGGGGCTTTTTTTCTATTATGAAAATCCCAATGCTTGACTGGGAAATAGATACTCATTTTTAAAATATTAGATAAACCACAGGTTAAAGCTGATGCATGTTGCAGCTAGGTTTGTCTTTTCAGTTAGTAATTATAATAGCTACAGTTTAGTGATACCTACTTTATGATGCGCACTAAACTGGGTATTTTACATTAACTGTCTTCTTTTAACACATTAACTGCCATGAGACTTGTATTTAGCTCACTCTGGTTTTAACCCTGGGGCCGCGTGAAGCATGTTTAAAATCTTAGCTTGTTGATTTCCTTATTGTTACAATTAATATTGACGATTTAATTCTAAAAACGTGTATTAAATGGAAGTCAATACATTTCATTTTTCTATTTATGTTTCTCTTTAAATTACACTCAAAGTTTTTATTCTATTTTCATACTAAAACACTGTGGCTCCAAGGAAAAGTTTCTGGGTTTTTTGTGTGGCAGTCAGTGTGTTAAATCCACGAAGTTTCTGGGTTTTTTGTGTGTCAGTCAATGTGTTAGATCCACAAAACAATTTTTAAAGGTTGTTTCCATTACCCTTATAAGGTTAAGTAACTTACTTAAAGGCACAGAATAGCTACTAATTAGGATTAGACTGGAACACAAGTGTGAAATACAGACCAGAAATTGGGCAATTACAATACAGGGAAAGACCAGAATGCTACAGGTGCACGCAGCAGAGCCCCCTAATTTGAATTGTTGAGAAGGCTTTTTAGATATAAGTGACACCTAAGATATGAATTGAGGAACTAGTTAATTAGTGAGCAGGGAGTCGTCCAGGCAAAGAAACAACATCTTCTTAGAGTTGACATTCAAGGAAGTGAAAGTCCAATATAGCTAGAACATCGAAGGACAAGAAAGAGGGAATGTTGAGAGATAAGGCAGTGGTCAGAACCACCCAACCTCCTCTATATTCTTCTCCATCCATTATACTCATTAGATAAATTTCCTCAATGAAGATTTTAATGTGACTAAGAAAAATGGTTAGCATTTTAGGATTCCTTGTGTCCACTACACCAGAAGAAGAAAAAAACTTTTTCTGGTTTGTGCATAAGAATGTAAGAGATAGCCATCTAGTGGTCTCTCTCACATGTAACGAGGTATTTGCAGAGATTCTGCTTTGTGCAGCCAAGCCTATGACACTGTTTTAACAATTTTTGCTTTCCTAACCCAATAGTCATTTTAAATGACAATTTCAAAGGAACTGAAGTGCTCTACATTTGGTAATTTATCGCAGCTTTTAGATTTTTACTTACAAACCCAAATGACTATGCATAGTTCTGATCCTGTGTTCTTCCATCAAGATTAACCTAAACATATGAATTCAAATTTTTAAATTATGGTTTTTTCCTCTCCCTAAAATACTTTTGTATTTTATTTTCTAGATAAAATATTGCATTGTGCAAGCATATTAAACTATATTTAGTGTTATGGGGCAGGGGAATTTAGCAGTAATGTACTGTATTAATTTTTCTTCTGTGAGACAGAACACCACTGTGGCATAATTTGGTT